TCTTTATTAAGTTAACCTATAGATAACACTCTGTAATCAGCGCTGTTGGTCTTGTCCAAATTGAATGACGTGTTTGAGGAGATGCAAGGGTTCACTGTAGGAGAAGGTTATCTCGTGTGGCACTTTTGTTGGGGGTTTGTCATGTCCCTAGCTTCATCTCATGTCAATGGTTTAAAACTAAAGTGTTGTGATGCTTCTCTGTAATCTGCTCTAGTTGTTACCATAGTGTGTAACATAAGGATATTATTAATAATGAATAGAGCCATGTTGAGGTTTAGTACTTCCTTCCTTCCTTTTTTTTAGTATTCTTTATTTTCCTTTTAATTTTATTTATTTAATTTTTATAATGTCACCAACCAAATTTCAAAAATAATTTATATAAATAATATTAATTAAATAATTCGAAAATAAATATAAATAGTCATTAACTATAAAATACTATGTTTTATTTATGAATGTATTCTAATTGTATTCTTTATTTATTTATTAATCTTTCCTCTAGTGTCACCAAACAGAATTGCAAGAATAATTTATCTAAATAAATATTTTATTAATTCATTTTAAATATATGTATTGTACCTGTATTCATTTATCTTGTTTGTAGTTTCACCGAAGAGAATTTAAAAAATATATCCTTTTTTTTTTTTTTAAAGACATGCGTCCTAAATCACTTTCATTATTCTCCATTGATCCTTGAACTTACGCCATTGGACAAGCCGATATAACCGGGTCAGGCTTGTCATGATGCTCAAAGAAACGAAGAAGAGTGATGTTTTGGTAGTGCCACAGTGTTTAAACTTCTGGGAATCATCCTACTAATGGTTTCCTTTTAGCTGTCTCTGCATATTACACACTTCATTTTTAACTTACTGACATTGCATTTGGTCGGTCTTGTAGAAGTTTGAGGTCTGTGTAAGATCAGATTTCATTATGGTACAGTGCTATAGAGGCATCACTTCCTCCTTTTGGCCCATTATGTGGCTCTTCAGCAGCCAATTATTTCCTTGCTCTCGCAGGCCGATGTTTGGTGGAATGGACTTTCACTTTCAGTTGAATAAGTGATTTTATAAGGGTTACACAGTGTGGAATCAGTTCCACACCGTGTAACCCTTATAAAATCGATTGGTTGCAAACCTAATGCGATTGTGTTAATCGGCGTGGGCCTGATTTGAGAGAACTTTCTCAAATTGGTTGAAAACTTTGTGTTTGCAAAGTTCAGGAATTCATGTTGAAGAATGCCTTATGGGAAATGGGTGCATAATGTCTCTTCTCTTCTGATGGGAAATTCCCTGATGTCCTGTTTCAGATTTGCTAACTCAATTTTTTTAAAAAACAGTAAAAAATCAGACTAGATTATATTGTCCATGTGTCCACATCATTGTCCACATCCAGTTTTATTATTTTGTACATAACGATGAAGACGAAGTGCTCAGGTCTGCAAACTTGGGCTGGGTGATCAGATGCTTATTTTTTTGTTGACCAAATAATAGCTAAAAAATATTGAGGTTATTGTGCATGTTAAAATGGATTATTTTTAAAAGCATCTCTAATTTTAAAGGGCTAGTTCATTTATAACTTGCCCTCCAACCTTGTTCCAAACCTGAAAGACTTTTGTTCATCTTCGAAACACAAATGAATATATTTTTAATGAAACCAGAGAGATTTCTATCCCTCCATTGAAAGTCTTTTCTACCAAAAAAGGATGCTTCAACGAGTTCATAAAGACATCGTAAAAAAATAAATCCACATGAATGGAGCAAATCCAAATCTTCTTAAGAGACATAATCTGAGCTAATCTTAAATCAACAGATTGACTTTAGGCTTTTATTTATGCACTTATAAACACGCAATCATAAAGCACATCATATTTGGTCAGTGGCAGTTCAACTGTAGGTTCTTGACGCACAAAAGGAAAGCTCACTGGCCAATGAGGTTTGTTCTTGCACATCAAGCAACACAACAAGTACGGTTGACCTTCCGTTTACAATATTTCATTAGCTCAATGTATTTGCATTGGTCATTGTTTGTATACAAACAAACAAATGAAAGTCTAAATTAAATAATGACCTTTTTAATTCACTTCATTTTTGGGTGAACCTATCTGTTATCCCCAGAAACAAAAATCCAAGTGTTAAGATGCTCATGCATTTTTTTTTACTCATCAGTGTATGATATTGACTTGTTTTAAGCTAAATACTCCAGCTCTAATTTTTTTACAATAAGTATCCATAATAACCATTTCTGAATGAAGATAAGAGGATGAATATGTCTTGCTGTGTTTGATTATTTCTGTAAGCCTGCATCCTTGTTGATTTGAGTCCAGAATCAAGCATTTGTAGTCATCTCAGAAATGAAATTGTGGATAAAACGGCCTCCAGCTTTACTGTGGTCTCGTATGTCTGGTCAATCTTTGAAAGTCTACAAAAAGGTAGGTAGTTTGTACACTGATCCTACCTCTAATTAAACTCTTGCTCAGCAGGATATAAATTTCTCTTTTGGCTGCTGGGACAGTTTTCACTTAACGGCGTATTGAATTCTGCATGCATAGGTCTATCTGCAAGAAGTGAGATGCAGTACCGTCAAAACAGAATTACTCATATCTGTCAATGTGCCTTCGACTGTAAGAGTAAAACCAAGACTTGGCATGTGCAGGGCTGAAACCCTCTATTTTTAGCAGTGCGTCACAGACCAGATCCTACACAGCATGGCGCTGACAAATTTGGTTACAAGACAGATCAGCAGCTGTTTGGATGTATTTGTGGTACTTTTGTCTATTGAAGTTCACCACTTGTTCCTTAAGAGCAGCTTAAGTGGTCTATTGTTGACATTTTGGACAGGAATGCTTTTGGGTTCAATTGAACGTCACTCATCTCGGTAGTTCTGCAATTTTCTTCTTTACCGTCCGTCAGCAACATGGCTGTCGGCTGCAGAGTTCTGCTTATGACCAAAGTTGTTTAGACCAGCATCATTAATATTACATATAGTTCAGGCATTTTGCTGAATTGTCAATATTCAAGTACTTCAACACAAATCCAGCATATACAGAACAATAGCCTAGTTTGAACCAGTGTAAGATTCCTCCTTAAGATAACTTTCTGTATCTTTGTTGCTTACAAAGAATTAATGCAAACAAGACAAAATTACTTGTGTTTAAAGAATAAAAATGTATGAGACATAATATATCTGCTGTATCTCCACGTCTGTTTCTAATCCATGCTTTCGTCCAGCGCTGTCAAACTCTTTTGAACCGAGATGTGACCACTCGTTTACTATTGAGTCATGTCTGTGGTCTCTGTACTTGTACTTGTCGGTCCGCGAGCATCTGTGATGTGCGATTTGGATGCAGTCCTTGCTATTGTTACTAATTGTTACTAGCTCCCAAATGTCTCCTATACGTATAGCCGAACAGTCAAGTGAAAAACAGACTTCATGTCTGTCCCATATACCGAATATGTCTTCATTACACTCTGATGACATTCTTACAGCTACCCTGTGCATTTTTGGAAAGGAATTTACACTGATATTTTTTACACAAGTGCTCCAAGACTCCAACGAGTCATTTTCTTTGGAGAGTAATTTCCCTTGTCTTGTAGTTTAAAGTCCAGCTCTGCATTCACTGATGTGGTCACGAACTCTCACACCTGTCAGGCCTGAACAATTACAGCCATTAAGGGATTGCCATTGTTGGGCTGTGGGAATTGCTGGGTTAGGCTTATAATAAACATGGTGTGTTTGAGGCCAGAGGGAATGCTTGCTTGCCTTAAGGGGACAGGGCTGGGAATGACATAAGGCAGTGAGCTGTATTTGGGTGCCCATGAAAGGTCTCCAGATTAAACGCATTTTGTATCATGTTAATAAGGCTGCCGACTAACCGTTAGTCGACTAGAAGAAGCTTGGTTGACCCAAACTATATTAGTCGCAGAAAGTTAGTCAGACAGTCCTGTTTTCTTCTACCAAGCTTGACAAGACCCTGATAAGAGCGCCCACACGTTTCTACCGCGGTACTGTAAACAGCCCAAATTTGGGCAAGGATTTCAACTAGATAGTCTTGTGCCCTGAACGTGAGGCTGGCTCGTGTGTTTCCCCCTTTGTCTGTGGTATTGACAAGGCAACGAGCTGTAAGACCTGGAGATTTTATGGGCAAGCGTTCAAGAGAGGAGCACGTGGAGAACCAGGGTTGGACGCTACTCAAGGTTGTGACTGAATTTAGTCTGACAATGGGCACTGAAAGGCCCCCTTAAAATGTATGAAAAATGTGGTAGTTAACATAAGTTAACTGTAGTTAACAACTGTTTGCTGATTGAAGAGATGAAGAAAGTAATGTATTGAATTGGTGAATGTGGGTAACGTTATTATTGTTCTCTCTATATGGTTTATTTATTTTTTCTCTGTTCGAGTCATGCTTTCATGAGCCCTTTACAACAAAATGGTTGCACTGGTCAAACATCTAATATAATATCACAGGTATTTCTGCATTTTCAAAGCTGAATTTTTAGCATCATTACACCAGTATATAGTGTCACATGATCGTTCGAAATCATTCGAATGTGCTGATTTGGTGCTTTTCTTATCAATGTTGACGCTGATTAATGCGTCCTTGCTGAATGAAACTTTAATCGAAGTAAAAGTCTTACTGACCTCAAACTTTTGAATAGTGTCTATATTGTTATGGCAGTGACAACGCTAGTCTCTATCAAGCTCTTTTGTCTCATCGAGTGGTGACATGCTTTAATTACAGACCTCCATATTTCCCTCAAGGGATTTTGGTTACCTGATGACATAATGTGTCTTTGTTTGGAGAAATAGGTTCCCACTGAAGATTAATGTTTAAGCCTGAAGCTCACTTTTGGGTTTATGAGACTAGCTCTTAATCTGAACCATGGCTAACTAAAATGCTATGCTATAGTTTTGAAAAACTCAATGATTTGAATAGGTTTACTCTGTTAAACGCCTAGATGATAATCTTGCTTAGATGTTAACTCCTGTGGTCTTTTTTGCAGGCCTGCATAGATGATAATGTAGACATGGTGACCTTCCTTGTGGAGCATGGGGCCTGTATCAACCAGCCCGACAACGAGGGCTGGATCCCCCTTCACGCCGCCGCCTCCTGCGGATACCTCGACATCGCTGAGTAAGTACCGCTTCCCCTCCACAGAAAATATGAAGTTGTTTCTTCATCTTCAGGCAGTTTTATGTCCCAGGGGTTGATTCTTATTAAAATGAACTAATTTCATTATCTTGTCTTTTTTTTAAAACCTTAATTTATTTTTTGCTACTTTTCCAATGCCCTTGATGTCTAGTTTTTGTTTTACCTTTGTCCCATACTTTAAATAAGTAAATAAATAATAAAAAAGTATAAAATACAAATTATAGCTATAATTGTCAAAATAAACAAAGTGTGAAATGATCAAATTTGATCTATATTATGATACACAATGCAACAAATTTAAGAAGTTAAGTGCAGAATTTTAAAAAGTTAATTTTAGGAAGTTAAGTGCATTTTAAGAGTCGCTCGTAGTTTCGAGGTTTTCAGCCGAAGCATGTGATGAAATATTTAAACGCTTAGCTGTACATCTAGTTTATTTTTTCCCTCACAGATCATATGTTGATAGGTTGTTGTTTTTTTTTTTTTGCCAGCTATGTGTAACCTGGTTAAGAGGTCAGCCCAGGTTTGAAGCCCAAAATGAACACCATTCTCATGCTACACCATAGGGATGGATTAGCACCTAGCCTGTGCTGAAATCATAGCTGTGGTGCATATGATTTGACACTCTTACACTCTGCCTCAAGGGAATCCAGTTCCATTCATTGTCGTTCCTCCTGTACTTAGAATTGATAAACACATTCTCTTCTATGAAATGATTGTTTCATAACCTAGTGATCTGTATTGCTGCCCACTACCTACATATATATGCAGCAGCCTTCTAAGGCAGTGTCCTGACCGTCATGGAAACTTAGAGGTGACAGATTGGAAACACTGTACTTAGGCAGCACCTCTGTATGCTGCACAAATGATGCTGCAAATGAGACTAATTGATACTGAATTGATGTTGCTAAGCCATGGCATTTTTAATTTTTAATTTTCATGCTTGAGCTATATTGGAAGCTTGAGATCTGTATAGGGAACACGGCACTCTAGAGAAAATATCAGCTGACTTTTAAATGGGGCAAACAGTAAAACGGAACAAGCTTGCTTTTGTCCTGAATATTGGGAGTACTCTGACCTGTTTTGTATGTTGATAAGACTAATATTTCTACAACCTGAAACAGCAATTGCCAGTTGTTAGTGTACAAAATGGTACACTTAAAACACCTGTGTACACAATATTTCAAACACCTATGAATAGCCTTAAGATTCAGATATACAATTAAAATACTAATATGCACATTTTCTACATGCAATTTGACATTTCCCAAAGTTTTTTTCTCAAAAACCATCCTAAATTCTGAAAATAGCATATTTTAGCCCCTAATGGAGACAAGGCTCAAGGCTTGGTCATAAGGTCCATTTTCTATTATCATTACTGTAGCAATGCATGCACGACACTTTCAAACCAAGCAGGTTTTGTTTGCCAACATGACAAATCTGCATGACCAGCTTGAACCAGTTGCAAATTTTGTGTTTGTAGTTTCCCTATAACGTGGATTACCATGGATTTTGCCTGCAAAAATTCAATGAACATTGGCAAATGTGTTTCTCTGTAATTCTGACCGCCCTGCAAGATATTTGATTTTAATATCCGGTTTGACATTAGAAATTAATCTCAGCAAAGCAAGAACAATGAAGGTGCATCACTTTGTTGTTGAATGACCTGTTTCAAACAAGTTGCAAAGAACAATAATTCAGGGCTTCGTATTCTGTACTTGCAACTTGTTTTGCAAGAGTGTTTGATTCATGTTAAGAAACTGCTAGTTGAGCTGCTTTGAATATGTAAGAAGATCCAGACTGTAGTAAGGGCATGTCTGTGTGGTCTTGTTCCCTAGTTCTGTGGTTTTTGAATCTGACATATGAGCAGTGAGGTTAGTGAGGGCGACGTGTTGATCACCAAGGTCAATGCTGAAACCGTCTTTCAGGCAAGAGACTGCCACTCCTTTATAACTCTAAAAGCCTATGTACTCTGACATGAATCCTCGCTGTTAACCAGTAACAGAAGTGAAGGACTTCTTTACTGAATTTTGATTGAGATGCTAATCACCACTTAAAGCCTTGAGGTGTCTATGAAGGGAGTCACATAAAATGAGGCCCCATTTCATTTCTTCCTCTTTTTTTTTTTTTTTTCAAATTTCAAATTCCAAATGAGCAGTTGTCAGTTCAATTTGGATCTAAATGATTGTACTAATCACACTTGTTACCTTTTTAAACGTTGTGTCATGTCTTTGCAGGTATCTTATCAGTCAAGGTGCAAATGTCGGTGTAGTAAACAGTGAGGGAGAAACACCTTTGGATATCGCAGAGGAGGAGGCCATGGAGGAGCTTTTGCAAAACGAGATCAACCGGCAAGGTACTGCTACCTCCCCTTCATCTTTACTGACAATGATTTGGCATGGGTGTACAAGGCTTAGTGTCATGTACGCGTCATGCTGTGGTTGAGATCATTGCTTTCTGAAGATTTTGAGTCAGTTCTTCAAATGAATCGCCTCGTACAAATGGCCAGGGGTGATATGTGCATCATGCTAAACTTCCCCAGCTGAGGCTGCAAGTCTTGGCAGGACTCCAGCGGGGTGCATTGACTCAGAATTAATATTAGAGCAGTGCTCAGACAGTAATGCAACCTACAACGCCCTTTCTTCTGTGGCCACTCTTAACCTACCTGTGGACTTGCCTGGGTTCTTGATGCCCAATGCATGTCATGCGTGTGCGAAGTCATAAAGGATTTAGGGAGGTCGGTGCGGCCGGCTGTAGTGATGTCTCTTACATAATTGAGAAACATGATCCATTTAACCTGCTGCCCATTGGAATTATCCCAAACTAGATGGAATGGTTTTTCTATTTTTGGCCTTTACAAGTCTTGATGACGAAACAAAGCCCCACTGCTACTCAGAGGCACTGTTCAGACATGCGTTACCAGCCTGAGGTGGTGTTTGGCTCCTTGCTCACCAGGATGTATCAGTGGGAGATAATAAAGACTGCTGTGGCACAGGAGAGGAGGCACGACTGTTGATAGAGCTATAGCATTTCCATAGCCTGGTAAAACCCAGACAACTTCCGGCAAATTTAGATTTGCTCTGAAAGTGAGTCTGGCAAAGAGCTCATTCAAGCCCATTTCCAATCCGTCGAAATCGCGGCACCAATCAGAAACGTTGGGGCGGGCTTTACACGATGGTGGCAGTGCTGGGATTTTGTAGCCTACATTACAAAGATGGAGGCCGCCGTCAAACATCACTCGTTCGAATCAGCTACGTGTTAAGCGATTTGAACGTTACCTTTTTTGTTAAAAACCGAGCAAAGAACAAAACTCGGAGATGTTTCTCCACCGGCCGCTGCTCTGCATACGTCATGTCCTTCATCAACGTCCCCCGACGTCCGTTGGTAAAGCCCCTCTGGAAATGATTTGTCTATGACGCTTTGCCAGACCACAACTCAGTTACTACTGAGAATGGTCTGATTTTAACCTGGCGAGCATTTCCACTCTCTTCTATGAAAATCTGTGAGCAGGATTTAGCCATACATTTGAATGAGGTCCAAGACCAATTGATGAGCAGTGTCAATTGCACTTGACTGTCACTCATAAATTGGGAAACACTAATTAGTCAGTTGATATTAAACCATTTTGGGACTATCACATCAATTAACAGAACTGTTTCAGAACCTAACAATAGCCTCAATTAGTTTTCACTAGATATTGACATTCACCATTGAAAATTAATATTGGCTGACCAAGGCATGAAAATGTGTGCCATCCTCAGGTTTAGCTTTTGTGTCTTTGGCCAGCAGTAAGCCCACAGTAGCTGCTGAAACATGAGCCCCATCTTGGAATGCGGCAAGAAGACAGTTCTCAGACAGCGAAAACCGAGCTTGTCCTTTATCTCTCCTAACAGCTCAACATTCAGCGTGAATTTGTTGATAATTGATCGGCCCTGCTATTTGTTAGCATGTCACACTCTTTAAGAGCATGTTATATAACATTCGCATTTCAGCCCACACTCATGGGCATTCAGTGAGGCCCTGCCAATGGCAGCTGTCAGCTTACATTTGAGGGTTGGACACTTCAGCTTTGGAGAAGAGGCGTCAACATGTATGATAGACCTATGCACACCTACAGCGCAGTTTTGCATGCGCTGACTTAGGACTTCAAATATCATAACTGGTAAACCCTAATGTTTGAACAGCTGAAATGGATCATCCTTCTCCTGATCAAGGAGGATGCTTGTCTTTTGGTGGTCAGACTGGAATGGGAGCCCACGCTTTACTCCATGAATTGTAATATAAGACACGGCTCTATTCTCAGCTCAGAGATGGCATTATGTAACGCTGAGTGTTGTATAATGCCTTCAACCTCTTCTAATGTGATTATCTTTTTTTCCCACTCCCTGTCTCCTTTTGAACGAAACCCTAGTCATGAGGTTAAACTTAAGCAGAGGCCACCGCCACCCCCTCAGAAGGGTCATCCTTTAGACTTATTAGCCGCTGCTCATTTCCACGGGAATCAGGTGACCGAGGTGCCTCTTCCAGCCAAAGTAAGAGACATTTCCAGCTCCTGTTGCTTGGAAAATCAGACGTCGGAGGCGCTGTTAGCGAACATCCCGATGTAGCCCACACTGCTGGGAACCGAGTTTAGAAAGTCTAAAAATTGAAATATGCTCTTTCCTCTCAGTAACTTTGTCACGTTCATTTACAATTACAACTTCGATTTCTGCAGTGTGTTCATGTTTAACTCACGGATGTCTGACCTTGAAGGACTGAACAGAAAAATTGGACTGAAGAAGGTGAAGCTGCAGAGCACGTCCACCTATTATGTAATTGCCACAGCCCACAGGGCAATAGTAGTTCACTTTGGCAAGCTGTTTTCAACACCTGAAACAAACCTGGTTTTGGCTTGATTTTGTTCGAAATTATGCCACACCAGTTCCTCCTCTTGAACTATATTAGGGTTGTTTTAGCGGCCTGGAAATACACTTGGCTGATGTTTAGCGCTCTTGTGGAGGTCAGTTTGTCTCTTGGTGTTTGTAAAGGCTGCATATTCTCCTGGGTCTCCGAGCACGTTTGCCTGTTTTTACTTTGTTCTACCTAGTTTTACATGCTGCCTTGGTCTTTCAGATGAGAAAAAGGGCCATTATGCTCATCAGCTGTCTGTTCCACAATGCATTCAAAACTATTAAGAAGAAAAAACAAAGCAAAGCTGTTTTCCCCCATTTTTTTTGGCCTTGTTGAATCAGCAGAGCCACTGGTGACATCGCTACTTGTTCACCATTTTGCGAAATCTTCTTCTTGATAGCCTGTCGTAAGTAGGCTATATCTTCAGCCTTTTGTCCTAAGTTGCTGAGCAGTGCTAGTGCTCCGATTTGCACAGGCAAATAAAGAACTAATTGATACCCGTAAGCAGAGATAAGTCACACGAATGGCAGCACACATATAGTTCTGAACGAATGTTCACATGACATCTGGCATGTTCACTCTGAAAGTGAATGGCTTTTTACTGTAACTGTTAGACTTAAACTTACTGTTTAGACATCACCTGTTTACTTCAGAAAAGCCTATGATATTCAGGCCCAACTTGATGAAGGCATGTTCTTAATTCTCGTCATTAATTCAGGCCCAACTTGATGAAGGCATTAATTCAGGCCCAACTTGATGAAGGCATGTTCTTAATTCTCGTCATTCTCGTCATGGTGGCGTCATTCTCGCCACAATTGTAAATTTCTCTCTAAACTGCACTGCTCTGTCATGGAATTTGCACATGTATTCCTACAGATTTCTGTCCCGTGGATCTTTCTTTTTCATGCTGCTGGCTTACTTCCAGCTCTCTTGTCAAACTCTTCAGCTAAACTGATCAAAATCTGTCACTTTAATCACATCAGAGTTCACTTGCCCCAGCAGTCGCACCTGCCGGACATTCAGTTGGTCTTGTAGCCTTATAAGGGTTGTGGCATGCTCCTCATTTGTAATCTGAGATGCCTCCCTTTACGTTCATTATTCTGACAAAAATGGAAGGTCAAGTAGTCAGTTATCTTTCTATATATAAAGTTTTGACCTTGTTTTGAAGATGTTGCTAAGCATTTTCTCGGCTCGACACGGCACAGCTCGGTTTGCTTTAGCTCGGTTGATTTTCCACTGCAGTTAGTAGCACTTTAAAGTGGGTGGGATTATAAACTGTTCGATAACAGCGGTGGCTGTTACTGGCTATTTAAATCTAGTGGGTTTGGTTTCTCTTGTCCATGTCTATTGGTTGCAAATACAATGACGCTGGTAGTGACGATTCTGTCTGACCAATCAGTGATCTGCAGTGTTTCACGTCACATTTTAATACCGGTACGGTTTAGCTTGGAACCTCAACAGACCAGGTACCATTTAAAGCGAGCCATACCGTACCATGCAGAGGAAAAGCGCCAAAGCGCGCCGTACCGAACCAAACCGTACCGTACCATGCAGAGGAAAAGCGCGCCGTGCCGAACCAAACCGTACCGTACCATGCAGTGGAAAAGTGCCATACATGCCTGAGTAAAGGTCAGAGTATATAGACTAGAAGTACAGTGACCTATTTGGCAGTATTAAATAAATAATAATATATAAATAATAATTTAAATTACTTTAATTATAATGTTATTTTGTACTCTCAATCAGATAGTAGTCAATAAAAGCTTTATGTACTTGAACAATTTCATTGAATATAAATGACTTCTGTCCCCTGTAGTTCTTAACTGCAGTTAAATAAAATAAAATAACTTCCCATGTTGAAGTATCTTATATTTTGCTTTTTGAATGGTTGGCCTTCATGGACATCCTGCCGTTTGGCCAGGTCAAGTATATGCACTAATCCTAAGGATCTGCCCCTCCCTCCATCTTGCTCCAGGCGTGGACATCGAGGCGGCCAGGAAAGAGGAGGAGCGGATCATGCTAAGGGATGCGCGACAGTGGCTTAACAGTGGCCTGATCAACGACGTCCGGCACGCCAAGTCTGGGGGGACCGCGCTGCATGTCGCTGCAGCCAAGGGATACGCTGAGGTTTTAAAGTAAGTTTGCTTGCCTTCATTTGCCATCCACAAAGGATTCAAAGGACACCTGTGCCTTCCTTTTGCCAATAAGTGAGATTTAGCAGCTTGTGATGTTAGAAACAAAAGAAACTTTGGTACAGCAGGTGTTTAGGCTTTACTTGGTTCATCCCATACTTCACCTTTCAACTCTTTTTGGTTCTTGTACACAGGACTAGACAGTATGTCACCTGTTTTTCTGCCTAGTAGATTATCATGAGCTGTTGAACAAACACTGCTCAAGATGTGTGACAGGAGTTAGGCAGTGTCTCTGTTTACGGTGCTTTCGGTCTTTGGATGTCAGAGTTGAATGACTGTGACAACTGCTCCATCTGCTGCTGCGCCAAAACAACAGGACTGTAACCGGATATACTTTTTTTTTTTTTTTAGTGTGTGGAATCTCTGAAAACTTGACATCTAATGTGTGTTTTTATTTGTGACAACTAAATGTTGGCATGTGAATGCGTATGCCCATTGGTCTACACAATATCCCAGGCCTTTGGCAAATGAGGCCAAGCTTAGATTGCGGCACCAAAATCCAAAAAACCCAGATTTGTCTAATCTCATCATGCTATTTCTGTCGCTTTAACTGTTTGCAGGCTTTTAATCCAAGCAGGGTATGATGTAAATATTAAAGACTACGATGGCTGGACTCCGCTCCACGCTGCTGCACACTGGGGCAAAGAAGAGGCATGCCGGATACTTGTAGAACATTTGTGTGATATGGACGTCATCAATAAAGTGGTATGGGAGACTACACTGAAGCTAGTAGCACAGACAGAGTTTGACCTACAATTAAAATGTCTCCGATTCGAATTGAACCCTAACAATGTTGCATTTTGGTTCTCAGGGTCAGACGGCGTTTGACGTAGCTGATGAAGATGTCTTGGGATATTTGGAAGAGCTGCAAAAGAAACAGAATCTGGTAATTTCACACTTTTGCCATCGGCCCTTCAGTCATAAACAATTCTGCTTGGTTCTGTAGCCTTAAGCTGACGTGTTCTGTTTGTTTTAGCTTCTGAGTGAAAAGAAGGATGTTAAGAAGTCTCCTTTAATAGAAACTACAACTACTGGGGACAATAATCAATCTGTGAAACAACCGAAGAGGTAAATGGCTCCTGCTCACTTGAGAAAAACCACCATTATGCGATTGATAATTCTGTTTGCCCATAAATGTCAAAGACACACACACACACCTGAATCCACTTGGGGCGCTTTCACACTCAAGCTTTTGATCATTGTTTGGATGATGTGATAGCGGTTTTCCCAAACTTAAAAAAGTAAAAGTGGCCTGGGGTTCAGGTCTGGTAGTATTAACTCAATCAATTTTAAATGGCGAAACTGAACCGCTATTGAGGACATATAATTTGCATCTGCAGGCACATGCATTACCATTACACTAACAACTCAATGTTCATAGCTGCTCGTTTCTCTTTGTATCTAGCTTGTGAATAAAATGTGAATGCCTAAATGACATTCGATTTGATAGAAAAACAAGCAGATGACCAATAGTAATTGAAAGTTTCATCTTTGTCCAGTGCCTGCGTTATTTCTCTCCAGAAGTTACAACTGATATAAATATTTATAGTTGTGTGTATCTCTTAATGTCCTCGCACAAGCACTCTTGTTGTTGTGATCTTCAGTAGTTTGTTCGTTGTTACCGACAGTCAAACTGAACAACTTTAGGGACCAACTTATTAGTGCAAAAAATTCAAGTATGCTAATGATGAAATTTACGTCACATGCATTGTACATACCTTTGCGTACGCGTTAAATTCAAATTATACCTGGGGCTTTAGTGTGAATAGGCCTTAAAAGTGAAAGCTTTGTGTGTGAGGAGTTTAATATAAGTGGTGCTTAACCATTGAGTGCATCTGTGTTTTAGTAAAGAAACTGTTCTACTGGAGCCAGAGAAGACTGCCCCAAGAATCGAGACTCTGGAGCCAGAGAAGGTGGATGAAGAAGAGGGGGAGGGGAAGAAGGACGAGTCTAGCTGCTCTAGTGAGGAAGAGGAGGAGGAAGACTCCGAGTCGGAGAACGAAGCAGGTAAATGTTCGAAACATTGACCAGCACATATGCTTCCTCAACTAGCTTTGTGTTTAATTGGTGAAAATTATTTACACACTATTTATTTTTTTTTCCCAGACAAGACCAAGTCTTCTGTTCCATCAAGCATTTCCAATAGTACACCTGCACCTGCGCCTACTAGTATCACTGTCACTTCGCCAACTACCCCAAGCAACCAGGTGACCACCCCAACCTCACCTACCAAAAAGGTACATATCCCCAAGTCCACCGTCCCCTCCACCCGGTGTCTGTCTTCCATGTTTCTGTCTTTCTGCCCACAGCAAGAATTCTCTGAATATATCATTCATTCTTCATGCATAGCATGTATTTGAGCATGTGTCAGTAAGCAAGAAAGTTGCTTTTGCAACTCTTCGGAATGAATGTTATTGGCTGTTTCAAGTTGAACAGTTTGTAGGCTTCATAACAGAGGAGTTTCAAATTCATTGTTGCGTGGAATCAGCGTGGCATGGTTGCAAAATTAAAAAAAGTCAGCTGATCTATGTGGTTTTTAGGCATCAGTGTGCTGTGAATTCTTTTACTGTGCACTTGAGAGTAGAGAAAATGTCCTCCACACTTCTTTACCATGTTCCTGCTGCCCTCTGCTGGACTGGAATGGAATTTCATCAATGTTGGGCTTTCATCAAGTTTGAAATCAAATCTGTTATGAATAATAGCATTTTTTTAATAACACTCTAAACCGATTTAACACTGTAACCTAATGTGATTTCAGTTTTATTTTTATTTTTTTAATAAGTATAGCTTAAATAATTTGTTGTTATTATAATTTATTTAAACTTGGCTTTATTTAATGCTAGCTGCATTATAAAAGTAGAAATGTTTTGATGAATGTTAAATTTAATCACAATTGTATATACAGTGAATTCAAAGAATTGAATTTCCAAGGAGACGCCCCATGTTCCTGTAATTTAAAGTCTTCCTGAAGCTCAGCTGGTACAGCATGATACTAGCAATGTGGGAGCCAAACTATATCGAAAATGACTGTTACCACATAACCTACCCACTTTATAAGACAGTTCATCAGAAGCTGCTTTTTAAAATGAATAATAATCATTTTAAATAAACATTTATTAATAAAGAATAAAATAATCACTGAAGCTGCTGTGCACAAGAAAGATACATATCTGGCTAAGAAAGTGCAGTATAATATTTAAAATGCACAAAACATAACTGTTTTAACTATAATGCAAGTCATTATTCTTTTTGTTTAATATTAATGTTTATTTTTTATTATGTAATATGTCCAAGAAGATTATTGCAGTAAAATTGTGCTTTTTAATTACTTATTCCGGCTAAACTCATGATATGTGGTGACTGGGCTTTTTATATAATTTCTTTTCTGTCCCTTTCTCCATCACTCTTGCATCATGAAGTATCTTTTTCCCTTTCCTTTGCTGCTTGATTTATTTCATTCAGGGGTTTTCTATCTTTCTTCCTTTGTCTTTCTTTTTCTTTACAATTTGTTTATTTTCTCTCTCTCTCTCTACTCATCATTGTGTTGTCTTGGATGGCTTTAGTATGATAACATTACTGCCCTTGTGTCTGGTGGGGAGCCAGGCTGTCCCGCGTTGTGGCGTCAAGGCTTGCGCAAAACTGGCATTGCGCTTGTGCCCAAAAAAGCGATGGTGAGGCTTTGGTGTGTTCAGCATTGTGATTCCCGCCCTATATATTCCCCACTTGACCACGTTCTTAACCAATCAGATAACTGCCTAATCCAAGACCATATCCTCTTCCTATTACTGGCTCACTGCATGGTGTTGTTGCTGTCAGTCGTGGCTGTGATGGCGTGCTGTTTTCTGTCGGAGATCATCTGTTTGATAGTTTTATGACAGATGACATCAGTGTTGCGTGTACTTTGATAAGGGTGAATTCATCTATTATTGACTCTAAACCCTAACAGGTCACCACCAGGATGCTGATGAGTTTGCTAAAACTAATCTTGATTGAAATTGGGCATGTTTGGTTTTTTCATCCGTGTTGTTTTTATAATATTATTTACCATTCTTATCATCTTAAAGGGGCACTTGGCAACTCTAGTCATTTCTTCGCTGATTTTCACTTTTGTTGTTGCATGTTTTCTCATCGAGCTCCCTCTACAGCTGTGCGGCGTATATTTTCACAACACGGTCATAAAAAAAACTCGATTTCCTCCCACTTTCTACCACTGCTCATGTGCATTTGTTATGAGCCGGCCAACTTTATCGTGTGGAGCATGTCTACCGAGTGGGTAATACATCATACACAGTATCATAGAATTGTATGTCGAATTGCCGTAAAGCACTTTGTGTTTTTCGCTCGTTCTCGCTTCTCAAGAGACTTCTATTTCCAAATTACCGGGACGTTAGTCCCCATGTCGCAAGATTGGTTTTCCGCTGGGGGGAGCGGGGATAGCCACCATTCTCTCCAGAATAGGTTATTGAACCATCCAAATGATTTCTAAACTGTTTTATTAAGTTGAAATAGTTGCCAAGTGACCATTTAAGGCCTAGCTTTCTTTTATCTAAACAATAGTAATTCAAGTTTGCATTTCTGAAGGCAATGGAATCCACAAAATCGTTCAAAAGGAATCGCTTCCCTTGAAGTTTGTTTTTGAATTCTATAGACATCAGAGAACTAGGGTTGGGCTTTTGTTTTCATTGGTTTGTTTATATATAGTTATTTATACATTTACTCAAATTTGTACTTGTTAGTTTTATATTTTATTATTAAAATGTATCTATTTAGTCATTTATTTACTTTTATTAATAAACAATTTATTTTAGAATAAATATATGTGTGTGTGTATAATTGTTTATGTAGAGTGCAACAGTCTGGTTCTGAAAGTAATAAAATTGTTAATAATAATTTCTAAACCTATCTGTGAGTTATGAGGTTGTTAATCTATGGGATTCGCTTTTGTAGAGGTCACTCAGTCCAGATTATTTCAAATTGGTTTTAAAATGATCATATTTAACTGTGGAATTAGTGGTGGATAAACTACATTATTTATCATGCTGTACAGAAAATTCCACCAATCAGAGATGCGAAACAAGCTAAATGCATCCCTAAAGTCTTTATAAAATACACCGCCTTGTACCTTTTATATTTTTGTCAGATTTTCAAATACTTTTGTTTGTTTCAAATAAAAATTTGTAATGTTAATGGTTCACCTCATTGCTGGTTGGCTTGGTTCATGACTCTTTTGAATTCCCTATTGGAGAATTGAATGGAAAAAATACTTTCGGAACCAACGCCACTGAAAAAGAAGGCTGGCACTGTTGCACTCTAATGAAAATCGGCAAAAATGTGAAAATATCAAAAGGTTCCCGAGCCCTGCGGTCCACTGCTCCCATATGTATACCCTGCATTGACCTGTCAAGCTGATCCGTATTCTCTGTTCTCACACCCCTTGATACACTCCCAAAACAATCTAACCTTTGTTTTCCACCCCCGTCCTTTCTTTTTTTGTTGTTGTTCTTTCTCCTCCTCAGGTGAGCACACCTACAGGGAAGGTCTCTCCTAAAGAGGAAGAGAGGAAGGATGAGTCTCCTGCATCATGGCGTCTGTGTCTGCGGAAAACTGGCAGTTACGGAGCATTGGCAGAAATCAGCACAACTAAAGAGGCACAAAAAGAGAAGGACACAGCTGGGGTGATGCGCTCGGCCTCTTCTCCTCGCCTCTCATCCTCACTGGACAATAAAGACAAGGAAAAGGTCTACTAGAATTTAGTTTAGTTTCATTTTGGGGGGAAATAATCCTGTTTTTAATTGGAAGGTTGGAGCTGTTTGCGTTTGATCCCAGATTTTTGAGCCTCTTCATTTATGTGCGCAGGAAAAGGAGAAGACACGCCTTGCGTATGTTGCTCCATCCATCCCGAGGAGACACGTTAGCACATCAGACATTGACGAAAAGGAAAACAGGTAAAGGACGGACACATGCTGTTTTGAGAGCACCTCCTGATGCTCCATGTTGTGAGTTGCAATGTGAAGCACCAGCTCAAGTGTAGCATGGTTTTGTGGCTTATTCAGCATGTTCACTACTTAGAACAATGTTCTGGTAGAAGTAAGCTAGGCTAGCTGTCTAATAGATTTTTCAATCGTGGTTCTCTGGAATCGGAGGTACTATTTCTAGCTTGTGGTTCTCAGGGATTCGGCTGCTAGTCTGGTACGTAGCGGCTCATACACCAGGAGACGCTGGGATGAAGACCTGAAGAACAACGACGGAACGGCCTCACAAAACAGAACCTCCAGCTATCAGCGCAGGTTAGCTTTTACCGTAGTAAAGATATGTTATTGCCTAGCGATTGAGACGAGTGGATCGCTTCTTCCTCCTCCTGCTGCCACCGCTGCCTGAGATGATTCTAGCACCTTTATTTTCCTGTCAAGCATTTATAGCAGCTGCTGTCGTCTTGCGTTTGTGTGTGACGTTTTGCCTATCTTAATATCAACTAAGTAGTTTAGAAACAACTAACTAGTTGAACTGCAGAAGTCCGTCAATCTCAGCTCACAGATACAATAAGTCTGACATCGGACATTCTTGTAGATGTCCTTTTGGGCATGAAATTCACACAGGGGTTTTCAAGCTTTTTAAGTCTTGTCACCTTCATTTACAAAGCGCTTTTAACAATATGGATTCTTATAGAAATTACTGGAACAGATTGTTTAGGCTTTACAACAGGATTAGGATAAAGTTATTGTCCTGCTAAAGTTTTTTTTACTGCTAAGATCCTTAGTTCCCCCCCCCAAAAGGGAGTCAGTGCTCCAAACATACATGTAACATTTTGTGTGTTTGTGTTTGTCTGCTGCTCACTGCTAACTCGCCTCTTTCACCCCGCCACTTCCACACGGCAGCACGTCTCACACGCTAGCGTTAGGCCGCACGTCTAGCTCTCGCGACCTGCCCGCCAAATCCTCCTCTGCCTCCAGCCTGGAACCTAACAACTCTAAAGCCTGGCAGCAGCCTTCCTCCTACTACCAGTCTTACAGCATTCACCGCAGGTACCTGCCCGAGCACCGCCCAGAAAATGCGCACACACACACACTCCATGTCCTCCATGTGTCGTTTCATTCCCCACTTCTTGCCATTCTTACTGTCTGGTGATTTATTTGTCTATGCGGCGAATAGTTTTACACTATCCATTAGAAAAGACTGAATATATAGTGCTGGTCAATATAATAAAAATTCACAATATATTCGCCATGGTTGGCGAGATAACTTTAATTGAGTGGTTAGTTCCAGTAACTGAAATTTCAAAATATGATTTAAGAAATATTCAATTAAATATTACCTAATATAATGTTGAATATTTTTGTTTTAATTTTGATTTTCAGTTGAGTAAACATTGAATAAAGATGCAAAGGCAAAAATATGTAAATAAAAAGTAAACCTAGCTAAATATAGATTATATATATATAGAATATAGAATTTGTATTTATTTATATTGCCTAGTCCTTATTGTTATTTAGTTCCTTCATTTTATTATTTTTATTTACACATTATGGACATGGCTTTTGCTTTGCTTAGCGTTTTATTTAGTTTTGCTTTGGTTTCTGTTTTGCTTAGATTTGTTTTTGTGTTTTTTTGTTTTGTTTGGTTTATCACTATTATTTATTTTTTTCCCCGTGTGTTTTTTCTTACGTTTGGTGTTTTGTTTTGTGCACTATGGACCTTTCTCAGGTTTTTCTGACTAACGGGTAACTCTTTCCTGTTTTCTCTTGAGGGGGTACTTTTGATTCTCTCTCACTCTCTCCTCTTAACATGTGCTTTGACCTCTGACTGTTGTGTGTGTTGCCGCAGTGGCTCGTTTGGAAGGAGGCAAGATGATGCTTTAAGTTCCACTTCTTCTGCCACTTCCACAACAACGACCTCCTCCGTTACCTCACCCACAGGACACCGCAGCCTGCTGTCTAGGTACGAGCACGCACACACACCTCTTTAAACTAAACACTCAAGAGTTGGTTGTGACAGTGAAATGTGTTGATGCCTAACAGGTATTGGCCCGAGGAGAATGCGGACAAGGAAAAAGAGAAGGAGAAGGAGTCGGCCGCGGTCATCCCCACAATCAACACTGCAGCCACCACCACTACCACCTCCACTACTGGAACTATACTGGGCTCTGACGGACGAGAGAGACGCAGGTACACACATGCACTGCAACATGGGATCATGGAGTTTTTTTTTTTTTGCACCATTTTGTTCTGGACGTATTTTTACCATTTTCGTTTGTCCATTGTATTTTCAAACAGTTAAATAAAAAAAGAGACCAACCAGCTCCAATTTGATTTGAAAAAAGCTGACTTTTCTTTGTGAAAACATAAAAAATGATTCAAACTTATTCTATGTATTTAGGACATTTAACTTGGATTGTTTATCCCAAAAAGATAATTGGCATTATTTACTCTCACCCTCACATTATTCATAACCCACATAACTTCCATTCATATGCACAACACAAATAAAGATGTTTTTATTACTTTTCATTAAAAGTCCATGCAACCAAAAGTTTCAAAAAGTTCATAAACATAAATGTAAACCATATGAATTGAGCAGTTTGATCCAAGTCTTCTGAAGAGACCATTTTAAACAATGAACAGATTTTAGGCTTTTATTCACACATAAATCTTGATCAATGCACACGCATAGAGCTCATCAAATATGAGAAGGTATACTAGCCATAAATATTTACTGCCAGCCACAAAACTGTATTTTGCCATTTTAGACGCAACGACACAATATATGTTTTCTTCATTAGTTTAAACAATGCATCATGTTCCAGATCTTATTTACTCCCCAATGCCTATTTTTACTCTAATTAAAAAATTAAATTGTTGCTTCAGCTGTGGGATTTAGTTTCTTTGTGTTGCGTCTGTAGATCATACCTCACCCCTGTGCGTGATGAAGAGTCTGAGTCTCAGAGGAAAGCCAGATCCCGACAGGCACGGCAGTCCAGGAGGTCCACACAGGCAAGTCTAGACTCTCATCCAAACACCTCTGCAGGAACTATCTCTAATAATAGACTGAACCACTGTGCGCTTTACAAATTATTTGTTGCGATAATTATTTAATGGTCCTTGCTTCAAATTTTTAGCATTGAATTTATTACATTCTGAGCTCTGTGATGTGACAGGGATTTATGGGAGAAATAACTGTTTGCATTAGAGATGAAATTGAGTTTTTCCTTTTCAAAAGTAAGGTCATGTTTCGTCATTAGTTGTCGCTAAACAAAAGCATTTCCTGCTTTAAAAAAACTCTATTATATATTACATAATCATGTGATAATGCCTATTTTTGCCTATGTATTTAATTCCTATAATGCCTTTAGGAATTAAATACTTTACAAGTAAAAGATCCTTCATCTTGATTTATATTATTTTTTATTGGGATTTTTACCTGCATATAAAATTAATATTAATAACAAATGATAAGTCAGTTTCTTAAAACACTTGAGGTAAAACTAAAGGAGAAATATCTTGTAAATGTGATTGGATAAACAAAGTTAAGCTGTTTTAAATTGGAAATGCACTTTTGTGACAGTGTCAGCTCATATGATTTTGTTTTTAGTATTAATCAGATAATATTTCTTCTTATTGATATTAAATAAATATTATTATATAGAACATGTGTTATTTATATTTTATTAAGGTAACAGTATCATAGTTCCCTGCCCTGGTTCTTATTAACGTAATATGTTTGTATATATCTGCAGTTACAGCAAAATTACATCATTTAGCAAACTCAGAAACATAACATAATTTTAACATTTTGACTTTCTTTTGCAGGGTGTGACCTTGACTGATCTCCAGGAGGCGGAGAAGACCATCGGTCGCAGTCGCCCCATAAGGCCTCGAGAAGATGAGAAAGAAGAGAAGGAAAAACAAGACAAGGAGAAACAGGAAGAGAAGAAAGAGACCGAGACCAAGGAGGATGACTATAGGTCACGCTACCGTAGCTTTGAGGAGGTGAGGAAAACTCACAGGGAGCAGGACGGTTTGTGGAATTTGAACATTTTTGTGTGTGTGTTTTACGTCACACGAGTGTCCTCTTTGTTGTCCGCTAGAAGTACCGAAGCACCTTGGCCTCGACCACCACGGCCTCTTCCACTCTGCCTTCTTCCTCTGGCAGCTCGTCTTCTCTCTACAGCACCTCCTCTCTGAACCGGCCAAACAGCCTGACCGGCCTCACTTCAACCTACCGCTCCACACGTGACACTGAGAGAGGTACACATGCCCGGGTCTCGTTTCATCCCAAAAAAAAAAAGCTTTTTATTCTTAACAATAATGAACTAGCCCTGTGTTGGAAAATGAAATATTAATTACCACATTACAGAAAAACAAAAACAAAAAAAAAACAAGTTAATTATATAACAATATCTGTTCCAAGCACTGCAAATGCCCTTATTTGTCATGGAAAAAACAACCGCTGTTTGTCACTTTAAGTAGTGACATGGCACAGGAAGGAAAATGAGTGATATGGTTTTGTGACGCTACAGGAACTGGCATACAGACAGGGACTTCCTTTAGTATGGCTGCAGACTGACTAAGCCAAGCTTCAGGCCGTTGAAAATCTTGCGTTCGGTAGGATTTTTTTATGTTTTTGAAAGTAGTCTTTCACCCAAGCTGCATTTTTTTTAACAATACATAAAAACAGTAACATTGTGAAATATTATTTACATGCAAAATAACCATTTTCTACTTTAATATATTTAAAAAGGTCATTTGTTCTTGTGATGTAAAAGCTGAATGTTCAGCAGCCATTACTCCAGTGTTCAGTGTCACATGATCTTTCAGAAATCATCAGGTCCTTAAAAGTCTTTAATTCCGTTTGATCAGATTTAAGGTCATGAAACATCTCAAATATCTTAAATGATAATAACAAAAGTCTTAGTTATCCATTTAAGAGGTCTTAAATTTGGGGACTATAAATCAGGAATCACAATATGGCCTAATTTAACGAATATTAGACGATTAATTGTCGATAAAACTAAAAAGCAAGCGCGCCGGAGTTATGTTTGGGACCATTTTACACCTTCATCTTGACTATAAGTTTGCATGTGCATTCGCAATTTCGCAGCCTTTTGTTTTGTGCAGGCCTATCTATATCTGATTAATCTTATATAGGATGCATTTGGTTAAGAATTAACGTAGCTAAAATGGCAATGGACGACTAATTACTATGATTGGGACTGTCATATCATATTACATAACATTCTAAAAAAAACAATGTTGTAATAAAACATTGTGAATTATTTGTGATTAGTTGCTGTTTCATCTTGTTGCTCCAGGAAGAGCGCGTCCACAACATATAGAGTCATTCTGTATGGCTTGTAACTTAGTTTAAGTTCACTTGTGCATTCTCATCATTTTGTGCAGAAATAATTTTGTGTCTGATTAATCTCATATAGGATGCATTTGTTTGAGTTAAATAACGCACTAGCAAAGTGTTTTGAGCAGCATTTGCACACCCTGTCATGCTGTTGGCCATATGCCACATATTGCAGTAGAAATGCTAGCGATTAATCGATGAATTGATTATTAATTTAAACGACGAGCGATCATGGGAATTTGTGAAAATGGTCATCCCTACTGCACATTCATCATCGGCAGTCATCACTTTGATCTAATGTTGATGAATTGACAATGTTTATTTTATGGTTTTTCTATTGTAATGTGTTGATGTTTTTAAGTGTGAATATTTAATAAGCTCCCTCATCTTTTTGCTCATAAGCAGTATTTCATTCTTGTGGAATGTCTGCCCCAGCAAAAGAATAAAAGAATCTGAGATTCATGATTCATTTTGAGATTTTATGGTTTTCTTCTCTGGGGACATTAATTTTATTTTAAAAACTCTGCAGATACCCTGAGTTATTCTAATATGCTGATTTGGTCATGAAGTTTTTATTAACATCGCAGTTGAAAACAGTTTTGCTATTTATTAATTTTTTTTTAAATCGTACTGACTCCAAACTTTTGAACTCTTGCTCCAGCTTATATTAGCTACAATTAAACCCGCTAACCTTCATAATAATAATAATAATAATAATAATATGAGTTTATAGTTGCGTTTTTTGAGATTGATTTTTGTTCCATTAGCTCCGCCAGGATTAAGCGCTGGAGCAATATCATTCCCGTAATCAAAATGGGGGTTTCCACCAGTGGTTTATGCATATTCATAGTTGCTCAATTGTACTCATAAACAACCATGTGTCTGTTTTCTGACCAGAGTATGATAGAAAAGAAAGAGAGGACGATAAGGACAGTGAAGACAAGTCTCAGCCACGCTCTATACGCGACCGCAGACGACCTCGAGAGAAAAGACGCTCGACTGGAGTGTCCTTCTGGACCCAGGATGTAAGAAACTCTTGCACCTAAAGCGCATTCAAAACTCACTCTATATGGATTCGGATACAAAAGACATAATGTGAGCTTTACAATCAGCATCCAAAACTAGCCACCAGGCAGCCACAAAACTGTTATGGTTCTAAATATATAAATATATCACATTATTACACAACTCTCTGGAATATTTAATTCTGATTAGACAATTGCAGCTGGCCAGAAAGAAAACTTACCTGCCAGCTGATCATTAACTCTTTTTTATATTCATGCCAAAGCATGTGTGTGCATTTGGTGATTGGCAACTGTACATTTTGGACCCTGTTTACTTTTATAATATAGTTGGAATTTGGGTAAAACTTTACAATAAGGCTCCATTAGTTAGCATTGGTTAATGCATTACTTAGTAATGAGCAATATATTTGTTAGAGTATTTATTCATATTTATGTTAGTTGTTAAAAAAAAGAAGCTGTTTAATGGTAGTTCATGTGCATTAAATAATATTAACAGATACAACCTTTGATTTTAATAATATGTTAGTAAATCCTGAAATTAACTATTTTTTAACTATTAAATATTTTTTTTTGTTAGTTAACTAATGAACATTATTGTAAAGTGTTAATGGAATTTGAAATGTGTTTGTATGTTACAGAGTGACGAGAATGATCCAGAGCACCCATCAGACTCCGATGGCAGCACTAAAGGAGAGCCTCAGGTGAACATTAACTCACCCACAATGCATCTGCCAACACAAATGCTCAGTTCCTCAGTTCTGTTTTTGAAGGACTTTGAGGTTTTTCCTCTGTCCAGCTCCTACTTTCTCCTTGTATAGTCAAAGAACAGTTTGACTTTCCTTCATGTTTGGCATGACAAACAATTTACTGACATTACGGTGTGTCTGCTGACCCCTACTCCCTCTCCAACTTCCTGGAATTGTCCCAGCAGCATTAGTTCTCCTATAGACGAAAGTCGATTCACAGCCAGCAGACTGTCACTTATTACAGGAGTAGTTAGCTAGCAATTCCTAGCTGCAGAAACTCACACTTACAGCGATAAGAGAAAATACGTGGCTAGTCACATGAGCCGTGTTTAGTGTGTACTTGAGCTGTTAGTTGTGTGTCTGGGGTGATATTGTGATATCCTGTGCGTATCCTGTGCCAACATGATCCTGGAACCAGATCACACGCAGTTGGGCGGAAAACTGGGAATGAGTCATTCAAAAGTGACAATTTATTAGAGTCAGGAAGAGTAAGACAAAGCTTTGTTGTTGACTGTTGGGTCAGTGGATGAAGAATAGGAAACTGCTTTTTGCATGTACGGAGAGGAAGAAAACCCAGCTGACACATTAAAGCACTTTTCCAAGTGCACTTGTTACAGCATCTCATCCATGTTTAAATATAGCTCAGATATGGCCTAATAGAGCTAAAGATCAGTTCTTGCTTGAATGGTTCCAAATGATAAGTGTTCAGAGGGCTGCAGTATGAAAGAAAATCTAATGAGGTCTGCGGGTTCTTTATGAGGCAGCTGTTTTTTTGTTTGCTTAATAGCACACAGTTCCTTTTAGTGAGCTCTTCTGCTTTGAAAAGGAAGCCCGGATGCAAAGCTCAGTGCTGCAGAATGCTTCCAGGGCAATCAGCTACAGGAAGTGGCCTGCACAGTTGCACGGGTCATTGCTTGAGTTTCTCACAGCCCTTAAATCAGTCCAAAGTTTCTAGCCCTCAGCCAACAATAAGCACAAATGAGAGAAACGGATATGTTTGGAATGGAAGAATGTCTGTGAGTTCAATCTTGATAAAATGATTTTAAATCTTGATTTTAAATTTTTTTTTTTGTCCTGGAATTACATACAGCTGGAAACATAATTGAAATTTGTCTTTCAGAAAATTCGAGAACTCTAAAAAGGAGAAAATCATGGATAAAAACATTATATCGAGTTAATTATACTACTAGTTCATTAAAAGTCTGGAACACATCAAGCCAGCGGTCGGCCGTCTGACTACTTTTAAGCGTCGGTCAGCTTCGTTTTTTTTTTTTTTTTTTTTTTTTTTTTTTGTGTGTGTGTTCCGCACCGTTGGCTCTAGTCGGACAACCTCTTTTGGGCAGATTCATCACATTGAATCGGTGTCAGGCCAACGGTGAGAGAGAGAACTCTGGCTGTTCAGCTTAGTGAATGAGTCAGTGCACAATAATAATAGTAAAACCGAGCAAAGTCATCAAGATGGTTTCAACAGAAGGTTCAAATGCACTTTATTAGTATTTTAATAGAAACATAAGCCGACTGTAATGAAGAAAGTGACAGAATGCACATGCTAGTTGACAGATTTAGGGCCTGTTCACATACATGCGGTGGTGATGACGCAGTGGATAAGACACATGCCTTTGGTGTGAGAGACCCGGGTTCGAATCCACTGTGAGACACCAATGTGTCCCTGAGCAAGACACTTAACCCCTAGTTGCTCCAGCGGCGTGCGACCTCTGATATGTAAAGCAATTGTACGTCCCTTGGATAAAAGCGTCTGCTAAATGAATAAATGTAAATGCATGCTCATAATGGAAGCGATACGGTCGCGGTTTCGACGTGCTCGCTTTTTTCGTGCTCGTATCGAGTTAAAAACATCTCAACTTTTCAGAATGCCTCCTTTTGAAAAAAAAAAGGTGAACGCAGCGCGTTTTCTACGCATTTTAGGCGCTATATGTGAATGGTGCCTTAGTCCTTTTGTTTTAATCAAGCACAGTTATTTGTCCTAGTAAGCTTTTGCCGCTGGTAGTTGTTTGACGTCGACTCGTTGTGTCCCGGCCTCAAGTCTCGTTACATTATTATGGCATACTATATCTCTCATCTTTAGCGGTGTTGTTACTGAATGATAATAGTTTTATGCATACCGAAAATTTGCATCGTGCACAATGTGCATACTGCATAGTACTTCCTTTCAAAAATAATTGTTAGCATGCCAATCCAAACTCACTCCAATACCCTGTGTGTGCTCTGAGCCGCCGGGGAATAAGATCCGACCCAGAGGTCTTGGCTGCGGATCAAGAATTCATGGAGAAAAGGCCCCAGCAGGGCTGAGAGGTCTCGAAGCTCAAAGAGAGGAAGAAATAAAAAGAGCGGAGGATGGACGGTGACCGAAGTCCTTTTACTTCCACTTTGATAAATGTGGCACTCGTGTTGAAGTTGAACCTTTTGAAGTATGACTCTTATTAGGACAAAATCAAATGGATTACGCCCCAATGTCTTCAAACGCGTTCTTTACTGTAGAGCGGTAAATGATAGATTGCTGACCCGCACAGACTCTCATTATATGGCAGCATTAAGCAGGCTAAGAGAGTGTCACAATCCATCCCAGACTAATTGATAATCTGCATTCTGGACGCTCTGATAGGCTAGACAAACAGACACACTAAATGCATTATGAGCATGTGATTGATTAACGGCAGGTACAGACTTAGTAATAACTTCTCTCTCTCTTTCTCCCTCTCTCTCTTTATCTGTTCACATCCACAGAGCGACAGACTATCCAGGTACGTATCCCAAAAAACACTTTGTCATTAAGTGCTTAACTATGTCCTTTTATAATGAGCTAAATTATATACTTTCATTCATGCCTATTATGAAAACAGCAGTGAATATTTGAAGTAAGCATCCATTTCCCCCCTCAGGAATGACCCTCTCTCTACTAGCACTTCCTCCACTGACCGTTACGAGTCTTATAGTACCCGCGGCTTTGGGGAGAGTCGGCGGCCGTACTCGCGCATCGAAAGAGACGACACCACTGATTATAAGAAGGTACAAACATTGCGCTGTATGATTACGCCCGGTTAAATAATGCTTAGTCGAGTGTTTACTCAACATGCTCTTTCCGCTTGCAGCTTTATGAGCAGATTTTAGCTGAAAACGAGAAGCTGAAAGCTCAGTTACGTGATACAGAACTGGAGCTGTCAGACCTGAAGCTGCAGCTGGAGAAAGCCACACAGGTGAGTTCCTTTTCTGAGAGAGTTCTTTTGGGCTCTGTTTACCTGTATGTCATCTGCGCTAAAAGCTTCAGAGATTTGTTCACACCGTCTCATAAATCGCACAACAAAAGAAAAACACAAGTGATCATTTGTTTTCAGTTAATTCACTGACTTGGACATATTTTTATTTTATTTTTTATTTGAGCCACTTTTTTCCCCCTTGAATTCCAGGCTAAGAAGAGAAAAATTAACCCTCTCAAGACCAAAAACGCACCCCCGCGTTTTGATCGTTTTTTTTTTTTTTTACATAGCAGCAACATAGACTTAAAATACTCATTAATGTTCATATAAATAAAATCAATACGTGATTATAAACTATGGAGGGTCTTCTTTTTTTCTGTACATTCTTATTAACATCAAAACCTTGTGTTTTCATAAAATAAACAGGGTGCGCCTTGAGCTCTCTGCAAAAATCTTTCTGAAACACGTTCGAATAAACTGTAACTCATTAAATACTTGTCACAGAGACACGAAAGATTTCTCCATATAAAGCTGAAATTCTCTTCTTTTAAATGAAGTAATTTATATAAAAAGCAACTATTTTCAGTTAATGTAATCTGTACGAAAACAGAGAGATGTCGGTATTTTCCCTTTCACCTAATTATAGCGTAATGGGACACGCCCACTGAGATCGTGCTTTATTCAAACGCTAATGTTGAGGCAAGCCATATAACGCCCACATCAGCTTGGGCTGAGTTTATTACAAATCTTCCCTCGTCCTAACCTTTTGTCTTTCTGCGCAGTGAGGAATAATTATATGTTCTATATAAAATTATATATAATTATATGAAGAATATATATATATATATATATATATATGTGTTGTCCTTTCAATTTTTTCTTGTCTTATTCACCTGAATGAAAGGCTCATTATTATGCGTGTCTTTGTCTCTCAGGTGAGAATCAACAAAACACTAAACTTGGTCAATGTATTTATCTGACATAATTATTTGGTAAAATAATAGCAAAGAAAAACAAAGCTCACAAGAAAAAAGTATACATTGACTCCAACATAATCAGTTGTTTCCCTGGTTCTGTTGTTTTTTCATGCGTTTGTAATTTCTTGCCAAATTTTTAATATTTAAATAATGGGTAAAGATGGTAATATTCCTTGGGTGGACTTTTTGCCACTACTGTACAATTATTAATTCAGTGCCTATTTCGATATTTAATTAGTTTTTAGGGATAACCAATGAAAACCCCTCCATCCATTTAGTCTAGTTCTGTCAGGACCACTTTGAGAGTGACATTTATTAAAAATCTTTGAATTTTGCGAGAGGCTTAGGCTCTAAGGTGCCAAACTAGACAGCTTGAGACTCAAATACCCCAAGCCTTTTAATAACCAAATGTTTCTTAGCATGTGTTTACAGAAGGAGATACAATAATTACGTGCATATAGTTTCTATACAGAATCTACTGCTCTATTATCAAGATGTAAATGTCTGTGACAGACAGTAGAGCATTGGTTGAATGAGCTTAAATACTAAAGTTGATCAAAGTAGGTGGAGTAACAAACCAGTTGAGTGTCAGCTGATATTGTTTAGCAATCAGTGGTCCTGAACAATGCTTGGCTTCCATTCGATCACTCAAGCTCTTTTTATTTTCAAATGGTTAGTGTTATTGTTTAATGGTAAAATTGAATGTAAAAATGTATACCATCATTTAATACTGTCACACCGTTTCATTATGAAAAACCTGGAAATGTCAGGAAATTTTCTATTATTATTTCCTGGCTGGGAAAGAATGGAAATATAACAATTTATTTTAGAATTAAAATTCATTTCTGTTTTTAATATGAATAATAAATATACAATTTCTGGAAATCAAAAAATGTCATGTAAACCTTGATTGGGCCTTAACGCTGCTCACCTGCTGTGTTTCTTTTTCAATTACAGAGGCAGGAGCGCTTTGCTGATCGGTCACAGCTGGAGATGGAGAAAAGGGTAAAAGCAACTGTTACTTGAACTTTAAAATTTAATGTATCGAATCATCATTCTCTACCCAAGTTAATGGCAGTGGATGAGCAGGTGTAATGATGGGGTATTAAATATGGATTAAGTCACATGTCAGCAAATCTCAGCTCAACTGCTGAGATTTTGGAGATGTGTAAGAACTGCTCCAGATAAATGCTGAATTCTGTCCTCCATCGGCCAAACGGTTGGTAACTGTTCCGCACTGGTTTATGTCTGAAGGTTGCAGGCAGGTCTCAGGCTCAGCTGGGTGCTTTGGGTAACGTTTAACCTGAATCGAATGTGTTTACAGCTCTGCTAGTGGCTGAATCACATGCCTCTCACAGCCCCAGGGGCTTGGAACCAAACCCAATCAGCCAATCACAATCCCTTTTTCACTTTTTGCCTTGAAGTCACAAATCCAGCACACCTTTCTAGACTTGTACAAGTGAATATGTGTCTCATGTGAGACATAGAGTATGGTGTGGTTTCTCTTTCAAACATTGTGTCTGCATGTGTGTGCGAGACATCGTCTGTGTGGAAAAAAATCATCTTAAAATTTGTATTTGCATCTCAAGTGCAGTTTAATTCATTGTTACATCTGATTACAGTGAGTTATTCCTCGAAATGTTCAGTCATTTTCTCTTTTCCTGATTTGTAGGTCATATACCATACAGAACGTTTTTTAAACTAATTCATAATTATTATATATATATTTCTATTACACTATACATGCAAGTAACTTGTGTAAGCATGAATAGTCATACTATATTTCCAGCTCTTGATCAGCTTCACTAAGCAGTGTGTGGTTCTCTTCACTTTGTTCACTTCGCTCTGTTTTGACATCCAGTCACCTGATGCCTCCACATGATTCTGCGTGTGTATCTCTCTTTGTTTGCAGTGATAGTGGATCATGGAGATGTTATTGTGTTTTATGGCCATGTGCGGTAACATGTCAACATCTGTGTGTGTCTGCAGGAAAGAAGAGCTCTAGAAAGGAAGATCTCTGATATGGAGGAAGAACTGAAGGTAGTACTTTTTGCCTGTTTTTCAAAGTGTGTTGTGCATCACCAAACCATAAGCAAAATTTAAGGTGCGTCCAAGCAAGGTCTTAATTACTGTAATTACGAGATTCCAACTTGTAAAAAGCGTACATGTCCTCGTAAGCTTGTAAGTTGGGAATCTTCTGAGAGTTGTCATAGAAATGCATAATTCTCAGTGCAAGGACATGAACAGCTCCGTCATGTGTTGTCATCTCGAAATTAAGGCAATTACGTCATGCTGTCGTTCTTGATAAGGGAACTAGACTATTTTGGGGAAAAATTGTATGAGTACACTAGCATATCCACCTTGTTCCTCGCTAGCAGAATTATCCTTTACATTTCTGGTCTCCAGTGTTTCGAGTCAAATTACCACGTTTTCTGATCTGGTAATGTAATGTTTAACCTTTGAAAATGGTTTTAAAAGGCTCCATACTACCATCACTTTACAAAGTCAGAATGATATCTTTTCTCAATGCCTCATCCGTCTAAGTTTATGTGTGTAGATGACATGAAGTTGCCTGAAGTTGGCTACAATGAAAACCGATGGACGCTCATATCCTACATACAGCACCCGATTGGGTGAAGTTTTGGGGGGTTTGTCTTTAAATTGTTGAGTGCATACCTTTAATGGGGAGTATATTAAGTGCTCAAAATGCATACTTTCCTGGAATTTCTTCATTTTATCGCTGTTGTTGTGGTAACAGCACAGCTTAACCCTCATTTTAATTATTAGTAATGTTCAAAAATTCAGTTTTGTTTTTTTTATACTCCATTTTAACAATGGGTTCTTATGGAGAACAGAACAGGACAACATACAAACAGAAGTTAGCTCATCGTTTGCTCAGGAAAAAGGTGGATAGATGACCTCAAAACTAACAGACATGGAATAAAAGCTACAAAACTTTGACTTCTTCCTTTTACATGGGGGTTTTACAGCTCGTTTATGTGATTGCGTGAGGATTGAGATTGTTGTTTCACTTTGTTCATTCTATCTGCTTCATATCAAGTTGCAGCTCAGTTTAGCTGTTTTAGCCGTACTGTAAATATTGCACATGTTCTCTCTATTCTAATGTCTCTATTCCGTGTGTGTGTGTGTGGAAGGATAGCAGAATTTAAAATCTTAAATTATATGAGCGTCAGTGAGAAGTTTTCCAGGCTTTGGTTTTAATCTTTCTGTGACATGACGAATTTCTGTAGATTTTAGTATTCTCCATTAAATGCCTACTTCTTAAGCATGTGTGTATCTAACTGTATTAAAGAAGTATTCACTTTAAAAAAAAAAAAATTACTCACACCCATGTCATTCAAGATGTCCATGTCTTTCTTTCTTCAGTCGAAATGAAGAAATTAAGGTTTTCGATGAAAACATTCCTGTATTTTCAAAATGAACAAATCTTTTTCCAAGTCGATTCGTTCATTTCGTTTGTTGAATGAACCAAATGACACGAAAAAAGATTTCTTCATTTTGATGAACGAGTTTGAACAGGAGATTCACGAACGCGCATCACAGAACAGAGCAAGGTGAGCATTTGAGTTTATAAAACTTAAAGGTATAGCAGAGGATCTTTCCGAATTTTTAGAGAAGACCCGCCCTCTCAATTTTTTTTTTTAAATGAACATGCGCAACACTCTATTTGCTCCCGAGAGGGAACGTCTATTACGCCTTACACAATTATGTTGCAAATTCTAAACTAACTCAAAAACATTCATGCAAGACAATGTCAAATGCCCTTCCGTGTTTTATTTACTTATTATACTGATCGTTTGAGTGACCGAGGACTCGAGACATGATATGCAATGAAGTAGCTTGTTGCATTTGTGTAATAGTACTATGGTCAACACATTGGAATTATCGAAAATGAACACACAAGGGTTTAGAATATTTCTGCGGCCTTTCTCTTCTTATCATACACTTCGTATACTTTTTTTTTCTCTTTCGACCCTCAGCCATTTTCAAAGGAATGGCTGAAACCGTAACTCATCACACATAATACATCTGAAAGTGCACATGCACAGAAAGCGAAAACTACATAGGGACGAGCACAAACGACGGCCTTTACGTAAACATATCACCAGAATGATTGACACTTAGGTGGACCAATAGTATAGGCTACCCACCCGGAAAAAGAAAATCCTCCGCTATACCTTTAAACTTTATTTATTTATTAAATGAGCAATCGTCTCGCTTGATAAGACCGTTATTCATCGTCTGGAATCGTTTAAAGCCCTTTGAAGATGCACTGAAACTCATTTGGACCTTGAACCGTTTGGTTCCCAGTAAAGTGCATTATATGGAGAAAATCCTGGAATGTTTTGATCAAAAACCTTAATTTCTTTTCGACTGAAGAAAGAAAGACATGGACATCTTGGATGACAAGGGGGTGAGTTATCAGCAAAAGTTTTTTTAAAAGTGAACTACTTCTTTAAGGGGACTTTTTCCCCAGAATTGTGATAAATCGGACAAAACCTAATTTGGGAACATCTGGGAAGGTCCTCGTTACTAAAAATGATCTATACTGTATATTAACCTTTCTTTCTTTTTCTTTAAAGGAAACAAAATTAATTTAAGAAATGATGTCAGCTAACATGTTGAATTTGACCTGTTTTAACTTTGGATTTGGTCTTTATATCATTTCCCTCTAGTTCGCCCCTACATCCTGGTTGAGAAGCAATAACCTATAGTGTTTTTAAATAATCTGTTAAAAATAAGTTATTTATGTTTCAAATGTCTTCACTTAGATCGCTATGTATGTGTGTGCGTTTTTTTTTTATTAGTTTTGTGAATCCCATATTTGGTCACTTTTTGTACTGATTACTTTAGTTTGCGTTTTTTTCCGCGTTTATTTTTGTCTGATGTCTGTCATCCCCACTATCTCTTTCTCTGTCTGTATTTCTCCCTCTCGTAGAACCTTCCTCAGGTAAAGCAGGTGCAGTCTCTGCGCCAGTATAACGAGCGTTTGCAGGCAGAGAACAGGGCGCTGTCCCGCGTGCTCTCCAAACTCTCGCAGGGCTGCAGCCACCTGCCCGCCGCAGACCTGTAGACCCGCCCCCACCTCCTCTTACACCCCTCCTCATGCTCCATTCAGCTCCGCCCACGCCCATATAAAGGCAGGTGCCAGCCTGTGTCTGAGCTGATGCTCCGCCTCCCTCAGTGCTCTCTGCTTTTCTTAAAGGGGAGGATTTTTTTTAATTCTTATTGTTTTATTCTTTTTTTTTTTTTTTTTTTCACCATGCAGTTATTGCTAATAAAGTACTGTTTTGGTATGTGCTTTAAAAATGAGGGTCAAAAAAAGAGGAAATATTTTGCATTCATTTATTATATATTAAAATTTGTCATTCATTACAAAATTACATAAACTAATTCTGCCAATTTTTTCATTTTCAAATGGCATGTTTTAATTTGTTATAAAAATATGAAATTAAAATTACTAAGTAAAATATATTTTATATGTTTACAGACTACTTTTTACAAATGACGTTTTGTTAGTATTTTCATTGAAAATAACATCTCTTCATGAATGATATGACATATATTGTATGTTGATATTAAAACAAATAATTTAATTTAAACGCAGCTCAAATCCATCACACAGTTCCGGCTATTTATAAACAGTTTTAAGTAATAAATTGTCCTATTTTTTTTCTTTCTTTTTTTTGCCACTACCCTCGAATGTGTTGCTGTGAAGTGCAGTTCGTTTTGGATGACTCTGGCATCTTGCATGAGGTGCTTGACTGGTTTTTGTGAAACTGTTTCTCTGCTTTTTTCTTTTTCTTTTCTTTTTTTTTATACTTTGGAGACCATTCTTTATCCCTCAATCCCAGATATTTTTGATCCTGGAGCTTAACTGCCATATACAGTATGCTCTGCCTGAGGCTAATCTAGATTGCATGGCTTCTGGAAACTCATGCATTTTAATCTACAGATTGTCCTTGGTAAATGCTTCAATTACATTTGGAGCTTCTCTTGCATAATGTCTGCAGTGTTATACAGATTGTAAGAGGAACCTTTTTTTGCCTATACTCTGTTTTTCTTTCTAGGTTTTTGAGTCCTGTTTCTTTTATTCAGTTCTGTTTTGTGACTTATTTCAGCACTTAGCTTTTATGGACTGTTTTAATGCATTTTTCCAGTCTATAACTGCAATACTCACAGACTGTAAATCTCTCTCTCGGGAGGTATCAGTACACTGTTAAAATGTAATTGTAAATGGCAAGTTTATCACAAGGAAGTTGTTTCTTTGTGTTCTTGGAAAACACAATCTGGTACACAATTTTGCATTCCTTTCTTGAAATATTTCACAAGAAAAGGATGTTCTGTAAACATTTACTCACCCTCATATCGTTACAGGCCTGTGACTTTATGTGGACTTTCTGCGTCCAGTTAGTAGAGCAGTTTGTCTGACTTTTCCTTCTGCGGTCAAAAGAGTCCACCTGTCCATCTATGCGGTTTATGGTCAATAAGGACAGTGAGAGTGAAATCTCAGTTAAAGATCTCCATTTCAACACTGTAACCTAAAGACTGAAGTGGGCTGGGTATCAAGTAGCACTCAGTGTTGTGGTTTATACAGACACTTTGAGCCGCTCTTGTGTTCCAGCCCCTTTATTTATCCCGTCCAGTTGAGAACACACAAAGGAACTCTATGTGTAGAGAGGGAGAGAGAGAGAGAGAGAGAGAGGACCGCCTGGCCTGAGCACTGTCCTCATCTTTACCATCTCAGATGAGAGTGCATGGCTACAGTTTTTCCATTGAACTGCAGTGTGCTTGTTGGTTTGTGTGTGCAAGTCTACGGTCCCTTTTCAACCAAAATGGTGCTGTTTTGGGTGCCGATGAATCTGCAGACTTCTCTAAAATGTGTATATATCTAATGCTTTTGAAAAAAAAAACTATATATATATATTATGATATTGCAATAATTTCTCAAATAGAAAGTTTTTTTTATTTGGCAGTTACATTTACATTAAAACTCTTTACAGTTGGCAAGATTCAGTGAGTCAATTCAAAGCTCTGATTCTGCTATTCATTTACATCACTGCATGGGTTTTTTGATGTGTGTGTGTGTGTGTGTGTTTATAGCTATGCATACTATATTTAATTAGTGCATTCAAATAAAATTATATATATATATATATATATATATTATATAAAATATATAAATTATATAAAATATATAAATAATATATATATATTAGGGCTGTCAGTTAAACGCGTTATTGACGGCGTTAACTCAAACCCATTTTAACGGCGTCAATTTTTTAACTAGTCTTTTTGGCCTAGGAAACTTTGTAGATTCTGAATGGAAACTTTACTAAACAGTTGCCAAATGGTTCAATTGACAAGACCAAAGTGATCTGTGTGTTTTGTCGTTGTGAACTGAGCTATCATCATCGCAACACGTCCAGTCTGAAATAGCCTACCACTTGATGATGGCCAAGCACACACAAACACAGACACACACTGCTGATGCGACTTCTCTGCCCCCTCGTCAATATCAGGACCTCGTCAGTATTTCTTTCACCCTTTTATTGATAGACAGTGTTACATTGTGAGAGAGATTATTTGCTCCAAGGGAGAATGTTTGTGTGAAATTGAACACATTATATGCCAATGTTGTTTTCAATAAAAGACATTTGCACAAAGCAAGCCGATTCACTTTTCCATGTTGATAAGAGCATTAAAATGAGGAAAAATAATGTGAGAAAAAGAAATCAAGAGACATTTAGAATAGATAAAAATGTGCGATTAATCGCGAGTTGACTGCAACATTAATGCGATTAATCGCGATTAAATATTTTAATTGTTTGACAGCACTAATATATATATATATATACATATATGTTATTCTTATTCATCATAATTTAACATATATGATTACTGTATCATAGTTTATGCATCAATAGTTTTGAGTGCACTTGGCTACAGTGGCTGTTTGGTTACTTTTTCTCGCCATTTATAGCCATTTTAGAGCTAATATAACATATGAAGATATGTTTTGCATATTGTCTGAACATTTTCAAAAATACTGAGAGAATTATCACCTTTCCAGTTTTTCAGATCAGACACCATCACCATATCGGTGGAAAGGAGGGTTGTGTTGGATAGTAATTGCTGTTTAAAGGAAGGAAGGAAGGACAAAAAAAAACAAAAACTAACAGCGTCAGCGTCTAGATACGCGTCAACTTCAAAACACTGGTTCTTTTCTGTAAATCTAACCCTCCCCTCTCCTGTTTTCTCTTCCAGACGCTACCAGACTTGAAAGCAGACAACCAGAGACTAAAGGACGAGAACGGAGCGCTGATCCGAGTCATAAGCAAGCTTTCCAAATAGAAAAGACCCCTCCCCGCATCCTCCGGCAGTAACGGTATTGCACATCTAGATATTAATACGAGACAACGGCGACAAGAAGGCTCCGTCTCCCCTTCTGTTTCTCAGTCCCCAGCTTTCCCTCGCTTCTCCGCTCCACCGAACGCCCACCTCACCACTCACACAGAACCACTGCGTTTACAGAACTAAGGAAAAGCGTTAGACGAGAGAATGGCATCGAACACTTTGCGGGCGGGGAAAGCCTCGGAAAAACTATTTAACCAATAAGCCTTAGTTGTACATACGTCACTTGCATCAAATTTCTCTTGGCTGTCACAGAACACCTGATTTTATTTGTGCCACACTTTTTTTTTTTTTTTTGTGATCTATCCTTCTTTTTTTGTTGTTGTTGTTTTTATTTTTTGTTTTTTTGCTCTGCTCTTTAATCTTTCTTCCTGTATAGATGAGTCATGCAATGTGCAGCTCTCTCCTTCCATCTCCTCTTCCTGTCCTCATCCCCCCTCCACATTGCGCTAGAAGTCCCGCCTCGTCCTCAGGGGCACTGTCTCTCAACAGAAGACTTCCTAGCACTCCGCGATGTTGGCGCACACTTCCTCCTCTCTCTCTCTCTCGCGGCCCTCGAGAGACGCCGGACCCCTGGCTTTACCGATTAGGTGGACCTTGTGAAATCGAAGCTTTCACTTATGTGCAATATATGCATTTCTTTCCTATACAAATGCTTTAAGAATGAGTCTGTCACTAGTAAATGTTCACTTCCTCACTCACCCCGGTTTCCTTCCTCTCCCCCGACTTCTTTCTCTCGTTTCTTTGAGTTTGTAGTGTAGTCGTTGGTTTATATCCTGTACTCCTCACGTTGTTTTAGCAGGTACTGAGTGAAGTTGTATATACCTGTATGTATTGTTTGAGACCAGCACATGGCATGCGTTTATGGTTCCCTGTCTGTTACTATTGAAATATACCAACTCCAGAGGACAAAGTGTGTTTTAACTATTTCCTTCTTCTTTTATAGTCGAAAAAGTCATTGAATAACAATAGAGCCGCCCCCCTTCAAGGGGAAGGTTTTTTCTTTCTCAGTTTTAAGTGTTCACGTAAAATTGTGAGATAATAATATAATTGCTTCACTACATTTCACACATTTTATTCAGTATCTTTGGAAGAGTGCTGTTCATTTTTTTTTTTTCTATTTTACTTTTTTTTTTTCCATTTACTTTTTTTTTTTTTTTAAGCTGTAGTATTAGCCAAGGTGTTGTCACTAAAAAGATCCTAGATATCGCTAACCCAGTCCTTTTTACAATGTCTACATGCACTGTCAATGCCATGTCAGGAGTCTTGCTGTCTGGTTTAGCGAACTTTTGCCACCGCATCAGATGAAGTCCATGCATCGGAAACATGTTTTATGCATTTCAGTGGCCTTGTACTTAAAATACTGTAGTCGGGAAAAAAAATGTCGCTGTAGTTGGACTGTCAGCTGTCTCCTCTTTGGTTTAGGTTTTTAATTTTTGTTTTGTTTTCTTTCCTTTTTAAATTTCCCATCATCTTGTAAAATAGATGTGTGGCTTCATCCGTGCAAGCTGTGCTGTGACTACCAACCACTGAGAGTTAATTAAAATAAACTTGTACATTGTAAAAATCTCTTTGCCGTCGTTGTCCTGTTTTTTTCTTTATTCCTTCGATTATTGGATTGGATGCTTCTAAACCAATGTTAGTTCCACATCTCACATTGTTGCTTTGACAAAAAAGTCGATTTTTCTACATATGATTTTAGGAATAGTCTTCTAGCGTAGTCCAATTTACTTGGATTATTGTTGTTGAATATTTAGATTTCCCCTATTAATACCCAAACTACTTGAATGGTAAATTTAATTGATCAGGGATACTTATACTATTATTTTTAATTCAATAATAATCGGATGACATGGTTTTTTTTTTTAATAAAAGGAACTATTAATAGTGTAATAATTCAAAGACACGAGACATAGAATGATCCATGAACAAGTACATTTTTTACTTGCATAATCTGTAAACCAAGATGTGTGTTTTATAATTTATAATATAGTCAACCAAATTTAATGGTTCATAGATCAGAATGCAGATATCAGTACAAAGAACTGAAATGAACAGCAGCTTCAGTTCAGAAACACTAGGTGGCGCCTGACTGAGCTCAGAATTAACAGGAAATGCAGGAAAAGTGTTACCTCATTGTTTGATTGTTTGTTTTCTCTTTCCTTGATCTTACATAAGGCTTTCATTTCTCCATGTGAACCCTTCTAGTATAGTTTGTTTGCTGCTTCATCTGGGGCTTGAAGTTACCCAACATTCCCATACAAAGGTATTTTGTCCAAAGATAAAGCCAGATAAAAATGAAAGGTCTAAAATTAAAGGGTAGTCTCTTTTTCTTCCATGCAAACATGTGTAAATGACATTTTCAGTTTTGTTTGTATTGTCCCTTCAATTACGTTTAGCATGTCTCACAATACTGCAATATCAAAGTCAGTTCAGACTTCAAGACTGCATTGATAAATGTGCTTGGCTCTGAATGCTGTTCTCATTGTGGCGTGATGAAGAGCTCAAATAATGCTTTGAGGAGAATAAGAGGCTGAACGGGCAGTAATTGCACATTGTCATGCAATGGAACTTTTTCCTTTGGAGATTGCTTCGTTCTTGTTTTTTCTACCTCAAAGCTCACTGGTCTAATGGGATTCTTGACCAAAACTAATGTGGAAAATATCAGTTGGAGTGTTTCCCGGTTTAAAAGCAGGATAAAAACACTAGAAACGAATAGATTCAGTGCTTTTGGTTTTGGTGATTTGTACCAGCAGGGTAAGATCAGTTGCTACTCTGGATGTCGCGTCATATTTCACACGTTAGCGATTCATATAGAAGTACACAAGGCTGTGGAAAAAGTAAGTGTGAGCTTGTTCATCCTTGATTGAATCACCTTTCTTTCCCATTCTGATATTCAGTTTGGAGTTCAGGAGATTGTCTTGACCAGGACCACACCCCTAAATGCATTGAAGCAACTGCCATGTGATTGGTTGATTAGATAATTGCATTAATGAGAAACTGAACAGGTGTTCCTAATAATCCTTTAGGTGAGTAAACAATGAGGCACGTGATTGGTTGTCGGTTGCTGGTCGTAACAAACACAGCTTCGTTTTACACCGTACAAGTTTGGCTCCGCAATGCAGGGTTAATAACACAGCAAAAGCACCTTTCCTTTCCCCGGGGTTCTTTCTAACATATATCTAGCTGTACATCAACATGTTTTACATGTATTCATTTAGCAGATGCTTTTATCCAAAGTGACTTACAAATGAGAAATATCTCAAATCTTGCCTCTCTGCTGCTGCCACTTGGTCACTTGCTCTTTTCTTTTTGGCTATTATCAGTTTTTGCAGGAAAAAATAAATCCTACTGTGAACTGTAGCTGTCAGGTGAGTGTCTGTGGAAAGATGATGTCATTCCTGACGTCTTGTGCATCCCTGTCAACTACTAGCCTATGTTCTGTTTTCATATCTTTTATTATTATTACCTTATGTGAAATTGATGTCTAAGCCGAACTGCTCTTCATAAGTGAATTAAAACGAGACCGTTTCTTAAATTCTTTTTAATAAGGATGTTATTGAGAATACTTTGTTCACTGTACAGTACAGATATCCTATCAGTGTTGTTTTAGGATATCATTGATATACTTTGGTCTATAGTTTTATTAATATTTTGAGTTTGTTTTTATTTTTATATTTTCATTTAGAATTTTGTAATAAGATAGTCATTTTTTGGTGTGCATTTTTCTTTCTTTCTTTTTTTTTAATTTCTCTATAGGTTTTATACTTAACCTAAAGGAAAGTTTGAAACTTAAAATAAGTTTTAGTTTAAATCAATAACTTTATTTATTTCAAGTAACACTTTTTTTTAAATGGTTTAGGTTTAGTTTTAGTCAATAACCCTGGTTCTAGATATGATGGGATTGATAGGCTTTATGGGATTGTCAGGATTTTACCATAAACAAGAGAAAAAAAAATGTGTAATTGAACTGAATTGCAGATTACATAAAAGACGGGCCACCATATTTTCACTGGTCTTTATTTTATGTAGCTTATGTATGTATTTATTTATTTCATGTTTTTTAATTAATTTTTTTGGAGTTGTGTTTTTAAACACTGCAATAAAATGCTGAACAATGTACATAAAAGAAAATCTTATTCATTAAAATAAAAAATAAAAAAATGAGAACAATAAAAAAAAATGTAACCATAATGTTTGGTTAGTAATGTGTGTGTTTCCTCTTACAGTAAATGGCTGTGTTTTTAGTTAGTGTCTAATATGTAATTGTGACTTTTGGAATCTACCTAATGATCATTATAAATTTCCATGAGATTATTTGTCTATATAGCTAAACTTATTCAGAGATTTCATGTGAATTTTATGTCCCGGAATGTGGATAGTCAGGCGGTATATTCAGTCACTCGAATCAGCATTCCCATATTTCCCTGTAATGAGACCAAAACTGAAGATCTTTAGGATATATATGAGGATTTGTTCCCCAGATGACCTCACTCACACTGCCTGCTTTACGTTCTACACATCTAGCTTGCTAAAACTGAATTCTATGCATGAGGAACCTCCAGTTCTAGGCTGGTGGACTGGCGCAGACCCAGAGAAAGGCTTCCGGACTCTGTCAAGGCTCATCTATTGTTCTCCTGGATCCGTGGCGTGCTGTCAATCACATGCTGAAAATAATTTTCTCATCCCTCAGAATGTAAATACAAGCAGAATTGTGTTTATGCACTTTCAGTGGTATATGAGGCAAGACACTGCGTAGTAGGATAAACATTAAAGGGCTCATGAACTGCCTTTTTTATTGTATAATGTTCTCTGAGGTCCACTTATAATGTTAGCAAGATTTTAACATATAAAACATCCTAATTTAGAAGTAAAAGGCTAACTCTTTGACTTTTATGACATTCAAGACTTGGAAGTAAACATCCACTGATATGACTGTTGTGGGTAACAGTTACACATATTTAAATAGTTCATAGGTCGTGATGGTAAGTTTTAAGTGTAAGTTGTTTCACATTTGAGGGGGTTTAAACCGTGACATCTACACGTTTTCAAAAGTGATTATTTCACGTCTTGTCACGATACCGGGTTGAAGAAATATTGTTTAGGCCACTTTTGTTTGATATGATCACAACAAATTAACACAAGTATGGGAGTCTTCTTGATTAAAGCCCAACGCTTTATCAACTGAGCCACTGCATCTGTTGAGTTCAAAGGTGTATTGGACGTTTTATTATTGCAGGTTTGGTTTTATTTGTTGGAAAAATAAATATAGAAATATAATTTGACACAAGAGGGCAGTATAGCCCTATTTACCGTGACATCTACACGTTTTCCAAAGTGGACCAACGTGATTATTTCACGTCTTGTCGTGATACGGGTTGGGCACTGAAGTTACAGGAGTTTCTTCTCGTTGCTAAGCAATGGAACTAGGTCGAGTATTTAAAAGGTTATGGTTAACACGGTTAACGTGGTTTAACGTCGATGTAATACGTTGTTTTAGCGTACCTTTTGCTTAAACGAGGAGCTGGGGGACGCCGGAAAAATAGACATTTTACTCATTAGGCTGCTTCATTAAAAAAGTGACATTTAGACGTTTTCTTCGGGGTGGATCCAGGCAAATGAATCCTTTTCACCTTGAAAATAATATATATATATATATATATATATATATATATATATATATATATATATTGCATTTAAATAATAGAACATTTCTCAGTGATCGTAAATTAAACAAAATTCTATTTTCTCGGTTTAATGAAAACCAATAGGTCGTTATGGCAGAGGCGAATAAACATCCGGATATCTCTCCAATGGAGCGTGTTAACGCAAACGTGAAAGTTTCACGTTTGAGGGGGTTAAACCGTGACATCTACACATTTTCCAAAGTGGACTATTTAGGCTGCTTCATTAAAACTGTGACATTTAGACGTTTTTTTCAGCGTGGATCGAGGCAAATGAATCCTGTTCACCTTGAAAATAATAAATGTTTTTTGCATTTTAAATATTAGACCATTTCTCAGTGATCGTCAATAAAACAAAATTCCATTTTTCTCAGTTTAATGAAAACCAATAGGTCGTTATGGTAAGTTTAAGTTTCACGTGACATCTACACGTTTTCCAAAGTGGACCAACGTGATTATTTCATGTCTTGTCGTGATACCGGGTTGGAGAAATGTTGTTTTGGCCACTAGAAAAGTTGTTTTGGCTACTTTGTTTGATATAATCACAACAATTTAGGGTTGGAGAAATGTTGTTTTGGCCACTAGAAATGTTGTTTTGGCCACTTTGTTTGATATAATCACAACAATTTAACGTAAGCAAGAATGGGATTGGAACTCAGGTCTTCTTGATTAAAGCCCATTGCTTTATCAACTGAGCCACTGAGTCTGTTGAGTTTATGGGTGTACCGAGTATTGGATGGGTTTTATTGCGGCTTAGGTTTTATGTAGACAACAATCCCCATAGTGCATTGCAATGCTCAGCTCCGCACGCCACTCCCACTACTCTGCCCATCAATGTAGACTAGAGTTGGGCTCCACTCTACGCTAACATCTTAGAAATCATTTC